TCCATTTGATTGCTTTCAACTTCAACTGGTCCACCTGACTGTGGAGCATCATCCGGGGAGAAATCTCCAGCAGGAAACTTCCCAAACCACTTTTGACACGTTCAATCAGTCACAGCACCCTCTCCATCCACTGCACAAATCTTTTTTTGCCTTACGGTTGTATTTTTACCTTTCTTGAATAAAGTATAATATGCAAAATATGTTGTATATTTTCTTCCATCTTCAATATTTAAATGGCTACACAAACATTCACCAAGTTTGATGTTTTTTTAAACGTATGCAGATACGACAGCTGTCACAATACAGTCTAACAACAAAGTTCAAGACTACTTAGGGCTACTAAGGGCTCCCATCTAAGGGCTACTTAATGGGAAAAAAACAAAAGAACTTTTTGGCCAACCCAGTAGTAGTCCCTAAGGGCTACTTAGACACGAAAAGAAATGTTTACTTCATTAAAATATAATCTCTCAAATGATCGCTTTTCCTGAGCTATGCTTTTCAAGTCCTTATTATATAAATATTATCTGTTTTAATTAGATTATCCTCACTGCTTACAAAACCATTAAGTGTGGATTGTTTTCCAACAATATTGTGCGCTATAATGAAAAGCAATGTAACATTTATTGAGCCCTGTAAGGAACAATGCTAGTCTCAAATTTAATGCATTGAACAGCCAAGGAGGAAATGGATTTGACTATACCATACTATGTTCTCAAGGGGAGCTGATAAATGAACAAGGGCTGAAATAGTCAAACATCATCTAAGCCATCCATCAGAGGGTATTAAAACAAGTGAGAGTAGGCAAATCTGTACCTGGGAAGTCAAACAGGAGCAGTGGTAGGAGTTACCACATTCTAGCCTGAGATCTGGATTCCCCGGGGGCCAACTGGCAGTTGGTAACCGGCAGTTAGAGCTGGGTGGAAGTGAGTGAGGTCTGCAGACAGAACCGGCCGAAGAGAAAAGGTAGAGATAACAAGGAAGATGAAGAAAGATAGCTTAACTTTTTAAAGCTTATTTGGTTTTTAACTGAAAACCAGATTTGGCCAACATGAATATTTTTTTTTAAGTTTTAAAACATTTATTTGAGTTTTGAGAGAGAGATTGATTTGTTGTTCCATTTACTTATGTGTTCATTGGTTGCTTCTTGTAGATGTCGAGACTGAGGACTGAACTTGCAATCCCAGTGTATTGGAATGATGCTCTAACCCACTAAGCCACCTGACCAGGACCAACATGACTTTTTTTTTTTTTTTTAATTAGAAATCAGAGTAGGCTCTTGTGTTGAGAAAGTTATTATTTTTCCAGAATCAAAAGCATAAATTAGAAAAAAATTCAGCTTTGGGTAAAGCCTGGTAATTGTATGAAACATTCCTACAGACTGAAAAATTAGTTCCCAGTTCTGAAGTATCTTTCATTCAAAAATGCATTCTTATGTTAATAATATGCACATATATCCATGTGCTTGTATAAAAAGTATTTGAGAGAGTGACTTAAGAATCTCAATTACAAATCTTTAGAGCAGGAATCTTGCTGCTTGTGCTAAGGAAGGCAAATTGACTTGACAAATCGTGGCATTAAAGTGCTAAGTCATCTGTCTTTAATGGGGATAAACAGGTTAAGTTTGTTCTGCCAACATCTAGAGGCAAGATTTTTACTCAGTTATTACCACATTGCCACAAGCCCGTGGATTCTGCAAAAGTTGCCTAGCAACATTATAGTTGGCGACAACACTGGGTAGGGAAAGAACAGGAAATTTGATTAGTTATGTCCTAGGGCAAGTGGGTGTAACCCTGTCTCTCCAGTACAGTAAGTACTTTACTCAGAAACCAGAAATTTAAAAAACCAGAACAATCACTAAGAATTTCAGTTAGGACACTGCTGCAGTTAAATCATAACACTGGGCCACGTTCTCAGTGGGTGGAGGCAGGGCATAGGTTTCAAACTCATTTTGGCACTTTTGTTTTAAGGAACACAAGATTTTTTTAATAAATGTTCTGGGGCTGCCTTTTAAATTTTTATTTCTTTATTAGAGAGAAACATTAATATTGTTCCACTTATTTGTGCATTCAAATTGGTTGCTCCATATAAGGTTGCTCCTTATATGTACCCTGGCTGAGGATCAAACCCACACAACCTTGACATATGGGGAAGATGGTCTAACCAACTGAGCTACCTGGCCAGGGCCCTGAAACATAAGATTTTTATTAAATTATTCCAGAAACATTTAGTAAGTACCTTCTCAGGGGTCAAGGGACACTGCTGGTTGTTGAAACTCTAAAGACAAAACTTGATCTCAGCCAGCCCAGGGTAATAAAAGGGTTTTATATGGTTTAAACCAGGTGTGGTAGCAAGTCTGGTGTGTGGAATATTATTTTTTATTTGGAAGTAGAGTAAGTCAAGGAAAGGCTTTATAGAGGAAATGGTTCTTATACTGAGTCTTGTTCTCAACTTTTAAAGAAATTCCTTCTTTCCCCCAGTCATTCTGTACATTTGTTGGGAATTTACCTCTTCTGATCTGTGTGAGGGCCTGAGTGCCAAGAATTTAAAGTTCTACGGTGGTGGACCAAGAACTTCCCTTCCTATTGGGAACCCAGGCTCTTTTGCCCCAGCCTAGTTCAAGGACCTGCCAGTTTAGGGAAGCAGAGAATGGATCAAATTAAAAGTTGAAAACAACAACCTTACCTCCAGGAAGGGGACTTGGGCTAGGGGCCGAAGGAGTAGGTGGGAGACTTCTGTACCATTTGAATTTATATTGAGAGAGAAAAAGAAACCAACAAAGATTTAAGGGCCTTATTATCATGAAGAAGATATTGAGCATCCAAGTCACATGAGAATACTGCAATATACAAATAGAAAAGGTCCCTGCACTCAAGGGGTTTCACTTTCTAGAACCAGAGGGTAATAAATAACATACTTCGAGACAGATATAAGCCAGTTAAGGAAATAAAGCAGGGTGAAATAAAGCTGCTCTGGCCGGGCAGCTCAGTTGGTTAGAGAGCATCCTCCAGATCTGCCAAGGTTGTGTGTTCCATCCTGCTCAGGGCACATACAAGAATTAACCAGGAAATACCGAAGTGGAACAACAAAACAAATTGATGTTTCCCGCTCCTCTCCCTTCCTCTCTTTCTCGAATCAATAAATTTTAACAATTAAAAAAAAAAAAAGCAGAGTGCTATGAAGGGGGAGAGAGAATGTGACAGCAATAGGGGATAAAGAATTCCTAAGTGGGAGGGGCCTAGGGGCAATAATCAAGTGGGGATGTCTGTGGGGCTTAAATGGGCTTTAAATTCCCATTTACTTAGGAAGCAAGCACATTATGTTTATACTCATATTACAGATTAATAAAAAGTTTTCTAAAGTTATTTTTTATTTATACTTCACATCGAATTAGGAAAATGTCAACTATCCATATCAAAAAATTGTATTTGTCCTCAGGAGGACTGAGGGAGAGGCATTGGAGGGAGAGTGCCAAACACCACTCCTTGTCTTTGGCCACCATGAATCAAAGAACGCCTCTCCTAGAAACACACCGAAGGGGAAGATTTCCTGTCTTTCAAGTGTTTCAAACTGAATTTGGATTAACATGCAAAAAGACATTTATAGTTAGCAAATGTCTGTAGAAAACAGTGGTTCACCCTTCACTGTGATATCCGGGAATTCCCCATGTGATATGGAAACACTAAGATGTGTTTCCATTATTAAAAATCCAACTTTAGACCTGGTTGGTGTGGCTCAGTGGACTGAGTGCTGACCTGTGAACTAAAGCATCAAGGATTCATTACCAGTCAGGGCACATGCCTGGGTTGTGGGCCAGGTCCCCAGTAGGGGGCACGTGAGAGGCAACCACACATTGATCTCTCTTTCCCCCTCTTTCTCCCTCCCTTCCCCTTCTCTAAAAATAAAGTCTTTTAAAAAATTCAGCTTTAGTTTAGCCTTTGAAAAGTGTTAGGACAATATACACAGTAACGTTAATATTCATTAAGTGCCACAATAAAAACAGACACTCAAAATCATTAATTAAAACAAAACTACATTAACAAACTTTACCCACATATGTCCAGAATTCATGAAAAGTGTACTCTAATGCAAAAACATGAATTGTTTCCGCCCACCCAGAGGGCAATTTGGCAGTAATTCTCACTTCTATACCTCAAGGAATCACACACACACACACACCCCCCACCCACCCACCCACCCACCCCATAGAGAGAAAAAAAAACAAGAGAAAGAACAATATTCACCCTGGCCCTGGCTGGTATAGCTCAGTGGATTGAGTGTGGGCCTGCGAACCAGAGGATCGCGGTTCAATTCCCAGTCAGGGCACATGCCTGGGTTGCACGCTGATTCCCTGCAGGCCAGTTCCCAGCAGGGGATGCACCAAAGGCAACCATATATTGATGTTTCTCTCCCTCTCTCCTTCCCTTCCCTTCTAAAGATAAATAAATAAAAGATCTATTAAAAAAAAGATTCACCATGGAGTTATTTACCATTGACAAATTAGAAATCTGTACGAGACAAAAAGGGACAGATTAAGTTACAACAATTTGATGGAGTACTAGATGAATTTCATTTTTCTTCTAAAGTTGTAGCCCGGCAGGATCAATCCGTTTTGCCAACACCTGCCCACGTGCTGGCAAACAAACACCGCGTTCAGTGCTAGGAGCCACCTGTACTGTTTGTTTCCTGTGGACAAGTCTAGAGTGGACTGCAGAGGGGACCACGGCCTGGGGGAGCTCAACTGGCTGCAAGCACACAGCCACTCTGGGGTAAAACTAAGTTTCACAAGCAGCCCCCAAAGCAAGAGAGGTACCGCTTCTGTCTTACTGATTTCGGTGTCTGGCCTAACCAATCTGTTCACACAGTTCGGAGAAGCTCTAACGCAGGAATCTACATTTCCGGCTTAGACCACGACCCAGGAACGTGACTGCTTACATCCACGCCCACAATACCGGGAACGCTAGACCGGAGGCTGGTCTCCTCGAGCAGTGCCCGGGAGCGCACACGCCGCGACCCACAGGGACCCAGAGGCGCTCCCAGTCCCTCGGTCCCACGTCAGACCCCCGGAGCGCCGGAGGGGCCGCGAGAAGGCAGAATTCAGGCAGGCATTCGGCTCGGCTCAGTCTTGATGGAGTCCCGCCAGGCTCCACCCGCCCCCTCCCAGAGGAGGCCGCCTCGGCTCCCAGCTGAACCCTGCCGGGGCGGAGCCGAACCTAGCTCCCCGCGGTCCGGCTCTTTCATAGGGCCGAGGCACAACACCCACCCCGGCCGGGTCCCGCGCCGAATGGGGGGCAGGGCCAGCAAGTTCGCGCCAAAATCACGTAGCTAGTCCCTCCCCCACGGAGTACGTCGCGCCCTCCTTTTTTTCAAACCCGGGGCTGGGCGGGGATTGGCGGACAGGGCAGTCACGTGGCTAACGGTCGCGGGAAGCCGCGGAGCCCGAACTCGCGGCTGGAGTTGCGGAGACCTCAACCTCACCGCCTCTGCCGCCCCACCTCTGCCAGACAGTCCGCGTCGTAGCTGCCGCTGCGCCCACCGCCGCCCGCAGCCTCAAGCGCCCCGGAGCCGCAGCCCGCCGCCACGCGGACCCGCCGCCGAGGCCAGTAGACGCGCCCAGTCGCACGTGGCAGACCCGCCCCCTGGACCGGCTGTGTCCCGGACTCCCCGAGTCCCGGCTGTCCCCTTCTGCGTCCCGGCCGCGATGAGCTTCCTTAGCCGGCAGCAGCCGCCGCCGTCGTCCCGTCGCGCTGGGGTCTCCTGCACCTTGCGGCAGAAGCTGATCTTCTCGCCCTGCAGCGACTGTGAGGAGGAGGAGGAAGAGGAGGAGGAGGGCAGTGGCCACAGCACTGGCGAGGACTCGGCCTTTCAGGAGCCCGACTCGCCGCTGCCGCCCGCGCGGAGCCCCACCGAGCCCGGGCCCGAGGGCCGTCGGTCGCCCGGCCCGGCCCCCGGCAGCCCCGGGGAGTTGGAAGAGGACATGTTGCTGCGGGGCGCCTCCCCGAGCGTGGACGCATCCGGCGGCGGGGCCGAGGGCGACTCGTGGGAGGAGGAGGGCTTCGGTTCTTCGTCGCCGGTCAAGTCGCCGGGGGCAGCCTACTTCTTAGGCAGCTCCTTCTCGCCGGTGCGCTGCGGCGGCCCCGAGGACGCGTCCCCGCAGGGTTACGGGGACCGCATGACTGGCGAGGGCCCCTGCTCGCCGCTGCGGGACCACCCGGGCACGCCGCCTCACAAGACCTTCCGCAAGTTGCGCCTTTTTGACACGCCGCACACCCCCAAGGTAAGGGAGGAGCGGCGACCGGGGCGTCCCGAGCCCGCGCCCGGCCGTCCTTTTAAAAACGTGAAGGCGCCTAGATCGGAGCGCGGCGCTGGCCGGGTTCGGTTACATAACCGCCCGGCCGCATCCCGGCTCATTCTCCTGCGCCGCAACAAAAAGTTGGCAGCTTTTCTTTTTGGCCCTGCCCAGAAGTTGTCCGTTAAGATTATGTAACTGAACAATGGGCCTCATCTGGAACTTCTTCATCTTTCAAAGGGGCTGGTCGGTGCTGTCCAGGTGGCTCACGATTGAAAGCCCGCCGAATGGGGGCCGCTCCGAGCTTGTCACTCGGGAGTGTGGCACTGATAGCGTGGTTTGGAAGGAGGCTGGAGTAGTGCTCGGCCCCACCACCTGACACTCCCGAGCGCCGCCGCCATATGGTGCTTTTTAAACGCTGTGATCGGTTCTGTATTGTGGGCTTATCATTTCGTGTCTTCTCACCGTGAAGGGGAAAGCTTGAAGTAGGCAGGGAGAATGCGCTTCGACCGGGGAGAAAAGGTTAGCCTTCCAGCCATTTACATTCCTAAAGACTTGTTAAAGACTTGTAAATCACTCTGGGTAGCATTTAAGCCTCTTTCCGGACGTAATATTGGGCAAGCGTTTGTTTATACCGTTGGGTTTACAGTGACCGAAGTGGTCACCCAAGTGGGATGAGTAGGGAGGGATATGGAACTGTTTAAAAAACAGCATCGGGATTGTTGCTTGGACCCTTATGCTTTCGTACTGTTGATAATGGTGAAGTAGGAGTTCAACATCTGTTAAGTGGCAAGAAATTATGCCGATTACCACTAATAGAACTTCAAAAGTAACAACAGGTCTTAAGACTGACACTTCTCGAAATTAAGACAAGTATCTCATTTGTAGGAATAAAACGGAAAATGTATTTAAATAAGTTTCAGTACCTCAGGAGGATGTGTGTTTTCGGCCTTCAGTGTTTATTAGCAGACTTGCCCCAGGCCAAGATCCCACTGGAAGTGAGGGGAGGAGCGTTGCGGAGGCGGCTTTCGGAGCCCCATTTAGGGGTTGGGGGGAGGGGAGAGGAGATTTTATGGGGCTTACTGACTGCTTTTTAGTTTTAGAAAGCGTTTGTTAACTTTTAGCCTTTAGAATGAACTTAATTTATTATGTATTCATACTCTTTAAATCTCTAGACCTATTGTACTTGGCTATCTTTCAGAAAAGGTGGTTACTATCCTGCTTCAGAGTCCTAAGTTAACCACTTTATTTAGCTTGAAATACTGCAGTATTTCAAGACGTGTGTGTTGGCTTTGACCAGTGCATTCAGCCAGGAACAAGGCTTGTTGCTGGTTAGGTTGAGAAGGCTGTCTGTTGAACCTAAAAACTTTATTTTTCCTCTCCTAGAGTTTGCTCTCAAAAGCTCGGGGAATCGATTCCAGCTCCGTAAAACTCCGAACTGGTTCTCTGTTCATGGATACAGAAAAATCAGGAAAAAGAGAATTTGACATTCGACAGACACCTCAAGTGAATATTAATCCTTTTACTCCAGATTCTCTGTTACTTCATTCCTCAGGACAGTGTCGTAGAAGAAAGAGAACATACTGGAATGAGTAAGTTAGTTATTACTCAATAGTTTGTTTCACCGAACACCCAAGATTGGTTTGGCATACTTAATCAAAACTTAATTTTCAACTGAATGTTATGGAAGTTTATGCTCTGAAATTTTTCTCTATTACTAGTACCTAATTCTCCACAGAGGTAGATGAGATCAGCTGTGGAAAAGGAATGACATGAGAAAGGAAGAAATAAAAAGTCAAGATAACTTCTAGGAAATCTACTGGTGTCAAAAATGAGGCAGGCAGAGAGAGTTGGTTTAGAAAGGCTTTTTTTCTTTCTTTTAAGATTTTATTTATTCTTAGAGGGGAAGGGTGTGCAAGAGGCAACGTGTGGTTGCCTCTTGCACTCCCCCTGCTGGGGACATGGCCAGCAATCCAGGCATATGCCCTGATTGGGAGTTGAACCGGCAACCCTTTGGCTCTCAGGCCTGGTGTTCAATTCACTGAGCCAGCACACAAGCTAGGGCTAGAAAGGCTTTTTAAATTTAATATATGCTTGATGGTGTTGGCTTCTGATTAATGAGCATATCTCAGCAAGGATCACATTTTAATCAGCTGAGCTTTATCTTGTGATTATAAGGTTAAATGCTTTCTTTTCTATTTTTCCTCATTAAAATTTCATTTTGCTGTGCACCTATGAGTAAAGTTTTGAATATCTAGTTGATGTATATTTCAAATATGTTCATGATAATATTTTTCAGTTCCTGTGGTGAAGACATGGAAGCCAGTGATTATGAGTTTGAAGACGAAACAAGACCTGCTAAAGTAAAGAGCATTTAGTTTTCTTTTTATTGTTTCTGAAATTTGATTTTTTATTTCTTAACAAGTATGTATTCATGTTAACTAAGCATTGAAGCACAATGTATAATTTTAAATTTTCACACAAAGTGCTGTCAACACAGCAAAAATGCTTTTCGTATTTTTGTATTATGCATATGGATACACTTTTTATTACAGAGAATTACAATTACTGAAAGCAACATGAAGTCCCGGTATACAACAGAATTTCATGAGCTAGAGAAAATTGGCTCTGGAGAATTTGGTTCTGTATTTAAATGTGTGAAGAGGCTGGATGGATGCATTTATGCCATTAAGCGATCAAAAAAGCCATTGGCCGGCTCTGTTGATGAGTATGTATTGAAAATTTTGTGTTTTGATTATTTTGTTCCCTATGGTATTAGAAACATTAGAGTTTTAGGTGCTCAAACATTGAATTTAATGAATTCTCTAACTTTTTAGAAGTTATAATCAAGTCCTTTTTATTTTGTACCATTAGTTCTTGTTGGACTTGGTAAAATAATAAGCAGTCTAATTTTGGAACCTAACATAAATTTCTTATTTCTAGTAGCATCTATGAATTCACAGTTAGGTGGAAGTTTTATCTTTCCTGATTTCTAGGTCCAGTAAGGTTCCTTCTTTCTAACTGCCATTCTTTAGTGAAAGTCTTTGGAAAAATCTGGCACGGCCTTAGCTCCCTCTCTCTCAGCCAAGTTGTTTTTCAGTGTAATGATAGATATAGAAGTCAAGTTTCTTTTATGAAGTTTCAGGTAAATTAATTAAGCTTAGACTTGAATAAAAATGATTTATCATTCTATTAATCTCAAATTTCTCCTAGGCAGAATGCTTTGAGAGAAGTATATGCTCATGCAGTGCTTGGACAACATTCCCATGTAGTTCGGTATTTCTCTGCATGGGCAGAAGACGATCATATGCTCATACAGAATGAGTATTGTAATGGTGAGTAACATAACAAGTTCCCCTCTGAATTTGTGAGCTCAAATGAATGATCACTGAGGGAATATTTATTTTTATTTAAGTCTGTGTCTCTTTTATCTCTTACAAATTCAAAGATCAGAATTACAACATGAATTTCAAGGGCAGTAATGCCTGTCTGCTGTTAAATAAAGATTGAAAACCTGGCTCTTCTACCTCAGTAGCAGAACGGTGCAAATTATTTATATTCCAGTTACTCGAATTAAACTGATCATCTCGAGAAGACAGTGGCTTTGCCATATATATTTTTATTCTCTGTACCTAGCATAGTGTGTGTGGGGGGGACATAGTAGTTAATAACACAGGTTCCCTGCATCTAGCCTTCCCTTTCCATTTCATTATATGAACTGCTAAAACTGATCTTGGTTATTCATAACAGTGACTCTCCGTTGATTTAAATCCCGCCATTTGCTCAAGGCATTCTGTAATCTTGCCCCCCCTCCCATGTATCAAATCTAGTTTACCATAAGCATCCACTAAGATTTTTCTATTAAGTGGTTCTCTAGCTATACCTGCCTTTCTTTTTCCCCTAGGACAAACAAAATAAGTAAGTATAGAGGCTCAACTTTGGGCCTGGGTATAGCTTTCAATTTCAGCAAGTCCTTCAAAGTTCGGCTTTGGTCCCCTTTTCATTAAATCTTTACCACAATTGGTCTCAATCTGGTATTGTCTGGTATTCTGGTCTCAATTCTTACATAGACATCTGTTATTAAATGTCTAAATCTTTACATACAGGGTGGGGCAAAAGTTGGTGAAACACAGTTTAATGTATATTTATAATTCTTACATTTTCCATATGGACAACTATAAACCTACTTTTGCCCCAGCCTGTGTAATGGGTTTTTATTTTTGTATACTTCTATAAATATTAAAATTTAGAATTTAGGTAACACTTTGGGGTGATAGCAAAGATTTATTTTTATATTATTATTTTTGTTGATTTTTATTTCTTCCTTAAATAAGATCAGCCATCTCATAGCTTGTAAGTAGTATAGGTAGCGTAGGTTCAGGTTTTTCATATTTAAAAGAGTGAACAAAAGTAAAAGACCTATTTCCATATCTCATCTCTCATTATTTTATTAATTCTCTATACTTGAAAGAATGGAAGTGCTCAGTATACAGCATTGTTACTAGTCTGTTTCACAAATCTCTTGAAATGTCTCTTTTTTTCTTTTATTATTCAGTTACAGTTGTCCCCATTCATTTTTGCCCCCATTACTCTCCTCTGCCCTACCCACCCCCGCTTGTATCCTTTTTACTTGTTCCTTGATGACCCTTCCCCTTTTCCCATTATCCTCTTCCCCCCACCCTTCTGGTCACTGTCAGTTTGTTCTTTATTTCTATGTCTGGTTCTATGTTGCTTGTTTGTTTGTTTTGTTGATCAGGTTCCACTTATAGGTGAGATCATATGGTATTTGTCTTTCACTGCCTGGCTGGCTTCACTTAGCAGAATGCTCTCCAGCTTTATCCATGCTGCTGCTAAGGGTAGGAGTTCCTTCTTTCTTTCTGATGTGTAGTATTCCATTGTGTTTCTAATCCACTCATTTACTGATAGGCACTTAGGCTGAGGCTGTTTCCAGCATTTGGCTATTTTAAATTGTGCTGCTATGCACATTGGGGTGCATAGGTTCTTTTGAATTGGTTTTTCAGGAAATATTTCTATTTATACCATCAAAATATTTATGTAGCTGTCTCTCATGACCTATACACTATTCTGTTTCTTAACCTCTATTTTTTAGTGCATTTGTTATAGTACAACTCAACCATAATGTACTTTCCACTCCATATTTGGTAGGAACCACTTCATTTTATGTTATTTTTTAACTATTTGATTGATTTTAGAGACAGTAAGAGAGGGAGAAACATTGATTTGTTGTTCCATTTAGTTATGCATTCATTGGGTAATTCTTTTATGTGCCCTGACTGGGGATCAAATCTGTAACCTTGGCACATGGGAACGTGGCTCCAACCAACTGAGCTACCCTGCCAGGGCACCATCTCCTTTTAGTTTCTTCCTGTCACCTTTCTGATGTGTCTAGTTCTCTCTTAAGTATTTCATTGGCAGTCCATGGATCACAAATTTGTAATAACCTACTAAATACATGGTTGTATGCAGATGATTTTGAGAAAACTCTAGGGCCTGGGAGATGGGGAAGAGTGAATGGTGTTACTACCCTCTCAGATTACAAAGACTTTATAGTAAAATTAGATTATAAAAGTCTTTGAAACAGTTTATTGTTTAGGAGCAATATAAAATAAAGAATAAAAATCTCTAAAAAATAACTAGAACTGTGTGAAATATAGCTTCTTTTATGTATGGTTGGTTATTCTGTGTAGAAGAAAAAAAAGGACTATCCTGATACATTCTTTTGTCTCCCCTTTCCATATTCCTTTTGTCTCCCCTTTCCATATTCTTTTCCTCGGAAAGCTTTGAATGTAGGAATAATAAGCCTGATCTTCATTTTCTTTTTCACAGTTTTTACAGGGAATAGATTCTGTTATCATTCATTTATATGTGTTGTTTAACTGATATCCTTTATCAGTGACTACCTTATGATCTCAAACAGTCCATTTGCATTTTAAGCCTTTAACTTTAGTGTGGTGGTAGACCGAAATTTCTACCTGTAGTAAATAAGTTTAGGAAAATTTTGGTGGATGAGGAAAGATAACCTGAAAATCAGATGATTGTTTGTTCTTCTCACATGTCTTGCCTTTTGGCAGTGAGATAGTGGGAGCCAGCTGGCCCAGCTGTAGCTAGACTCACTAAAAGGTAGCCATATTCTTTCTTATTAAACTTGATCTAGGACTTCAAGCCTTTATGTCCTACAGGTTTATTGACCTGCTCCCTTCTAGAGCCCTTTTTTCCTCTGTAGTTCAAGATTTGTACAAGTTAAGTATGGAGAACACTTAAGCCTAAGATAACCAGAAGTGTGGTTAATATTAATTTAAAAACACAATATCCATTTGTTATTCAGTCTTGTCCAAATTGTAGGACCTCCTTTTTTGACTCATAGTTCATTAACCTTTCTGATTTTATTAGCTTGGTTTGATTGTATTATTCTTAACTAAGCTTTAAAAAGAAGTGGTGGGTTCCTTTTCTTTTTTCTTTTTTAATGTAACTCACTTCCTCTGAGGTAAAATATAAGTTTACAAAGATTTAAATAAAACTAATAAAGTACAAGCTTTTTATAAAAATAACATTAGTTGATTGGTTTGGCTTATTCTATAAAAACATGTTTTATTCTAATTAGTTTTAAGAGTAGTATAAATCAAAACTACCATAGTACTGTTTCTTTCGATAAAATTTATAGACTTAAACAAGGGTGTGGGAAAACAAGTACTTTCATAAATTAATGATGGGAGTATAAATTGGTACAGACTTCTCTGTGGGGACAGTGTGTATACATGCATGAGTAATCAGGTTTACATAGGCAGCTACTAATAGAGTTTACGTATGAGCCATTTTGAGATCAGAAACTGAGTGCACTGTTATTTCTTTATGTAAAGTTTCAGAGGCAGTCAAGTCTTGGCACTAATGGTATGAATACCAATCCTAAGCTCTTTTGTAGAGGATAAACAGAAATGGCCCTGTTGGCTATAGAAACTTATTCTATATGTAATAAAATAGTATTGCACACACTCACACCCTGTGCATGTACATAACTAACATTGTACATACTCTTTGACCCAGCAGGGGGTTTCTTTTTCTTTTTTTCTTTTTTAGATTTTATTTATTTATTTTTAGAGAGGGAAAGGGGAGAAGAAAGAGAGGAAAAGAAATATCAGTGTGTGGTTGCCTATCACGTGGCCCCCATTGGGGACCTGGCCTGCAACCCAGGCATGTGCCCTGACTGGGAATCCATCCAGCAACCCTTTGGTTTGTAGCCCATGCTCAATCCACTGAACTACACCAACCAGGGCAGGCAGTGGGTTTCTAGGAAATACACTAAATATGTGTAAAAAGACCATTATACATCTTAGACCATATGTAGTAGCAAAGGCTTAGAAAGTATTTTAAAATCTCCATAAAATCGGGGACTGGTTAATGCATTATCATTCACTTATACAGTAGAGACACAATAAAGGGGTAGTCTTTGTATATTGGTAAAGAACTATCTTCAAGATAATGAAAATATGTTATCATTTGTATCAGAAGTTGAAAAGAATGCACAAGAAACTGATAACATTGGTTTACTTTGGGGAAAAGAACTAGGTTGTAGGGGTAATGGATTACAGAAAGCTTATATTTTGTACTTGGGTGTGTATTATCTGTTGAAACAATAAATATAATTATTTCACAAGCACATTGAAGGGAATAGGTACTATAAAATATCACTTTCTCAGTTAAATCTGTGGTCATTCAGTAAAGATAGAAGAAAAATAAGAACGTTTCTGAAGGAAGAAAATGCTAATTTTGTGTGTGTGTGTATTTGTTAGGTGGAAGTTTAGCTGATGCCATAAGCATAAACTACAGGAGCATGAGGTACTTTATAGAAGCAGAGTTAAAGGATCTCCTTTTGCAAGTTGGCCGAGGCTTGAAGTATATTCATTCAATGTCTTTGGTTCACATGGATATAAAGCCTAGTAAGTATTACAAATCTTCTAACCTGTGTTCTCTGGGATTATAGAGAATAAGTGACTTCATTAAAACAGTATGAAACATGTACATCTTGGTCATGTTAGTATGTTTTTTCATTGTTAGTTTATTCTTTTTATTATTATTGATTTTTAGAAGGAGAGAGAAATGTTTTTTGTTTTTTTATTTATTTTTTATTTTTTATTTTATTTTCACCCAAGGATATATATTTATTGATTTTAGAGAGTGGAAGAGGGAGAGAAAGAGAAACATTGGTTGTTTCCTGTATGGTACTGGAAATTAAACCTGTAACCTTTTGGTGTACATTGGTACACCTACAAGCTGATACTCCAGCCAACTGAGTGACCCAGCCAGAGCTGTTACTCTA